CCCCGCCCCCCCCCCCCCCCCCCCCCCCCCCCGCCACTGTTGCTATGGAAGCCAATGGGCCCCGCAGCAGTGGTGGCTACAGGGCTTGAGTTGGGGGGTTCAGTATAGGTGAACTCCTGGAGCCACTGCCTCCAAGCCTGGGGATTAGTGTGGCTTTGCCATGCAGGGGAGAAGGGATGCTTGCAAAGAAGCTGGTCCAGGGAAGGCCACATACGCATGGGCACCCACTAAGCCGGTCAGTACCCCTACACAACAGCCCAGAGCCTATGCACCCTGGGGCTCCTCCCCGCCACCAGCGCACAGCGCCAGCCCAGCTCGTGCCCGTGCCAGACTCACCCCGGCCAGGGCAGATCAGCCAGAACCCATGGGCACAGCCTTGACCACAGCCCGCCTCATGCCTGCTCCACACTCCCCACCTATGCCAAGCAGAAGCTGCTGCTGGCATGGGAGAAAAGCGGCCCTGCCCCCTCACCAATGTTGGGCTGTTCTGGCTGCAGCTCCCTGGAGCCCTCACCCGGGCTGCCCTGTGGCTCCTCTCTGCCGCCATCACTGCTACTTCCAGGCCACCCTGCGGGGCAGCGGTGACACTGCAAAGGAGCCACAGGGCAGCCTAGGCACAGGCTCCAGGCAGCTGCAGCAAGAATTGCCTGGCAGTGGTGAGGAGGAGGGGCCGCTTTTCCCCCATGCTGAGCAGCAGTTTCTGCCCAGCCACTGCTGCTGATCAGCATGGGTGGGCGGTGTGGAGCAGGTGCAGGGCAGGCCAGAGTCGGGGCTGTGTCCACAGGTCCCTGCCAATACCACGAGGCTGGGGCAGGGGTGGCAGCAGCCAGAAGGAGCCACCGCCAGCTGGGCTGCCTAGATAGGCAGTCCTGCTGCAAAGCCACCCCAGCCCCCCTGCATGTCCAGGGAGTGGTAGGAGGCACCATATACTGGACAGTGCTTGGGCAGGCAGGACTGAGGGACCTGCTGTGGGCTGGACAAAGACCCTCCGCGGGCCAGATCCAGCCTACGGTCCATGTTTTGCCCACCCCTGGGTTACACCCATTTACATTAACTGCAGGTTTAGCCTGAAATACTCTGTAATGGTTGTTTACTAGGATGATCGCTGCTTTTGCAAATATATTGAACATATGGATAGAACCTGTAGTACACTGCTTAGGTGCCCCTCTGCTTCCCATGTAACCCCTATAGGCAATGAGCAGCAAGGCAGACCGTTTGCGTAGATGTTTGCAACGAAGTTAAACTGGAAAAAGGGTTGTATAGAGGAAATCTAAATGAAACATTCCCTTTATCACTGGGAAGGTCTGAAAGCTGAGTTGCAAAAGTCAAGAAAAATTGGACTTAAGTCCTTTTTCTTTCTGAGATGTTAAAGAAAGTGCCTGCTTCGGCAGCACATATACTAAAATTGAAATGATACAGAGAAGATTAGTATGAGCCCTGTGCAAGCATGACACACAGATTTGTTAAGTGTTCCATATTTATTAAAAAAAAGTGTCTTTCTTGCTCTCTC